GTTGGATAGTTTTGTGATGTGTTTCTCAACTGCCCAGTTAATAAATTAACAACAACATATTTCCTCTAAGTGTAACAGAGTCGGGCCCACGGTGGAGAGTGGTGCTCTCCACCTGCTACAGCAGGATTTTTGAAAATTACATCGTGGTTCTTCTGAGGCTGTATCAGAGAGACCTTCCTGGTTCTGCTAAAAACAAACAAAACTAAATACAACCAAAAAACGGGTCTCTAGGATGCAACTGTAGCATCCTCAGTCCCCGGGAACAGGTAGAATCATCTACTTGGTGATCTGATCAAAGCCAGCGTTCCTGGAAACTGTGGGGGACACGGAGCCAAAGCACCAGTACGAGCAAGTGGATGGGGGACAGAGGGCACAGAGGCCCTGATACCTTCTCTTTTGAGGTTCAGCATTATCAGAATCCTTCCAGAAGTAATGAGATATCCCTGGCCAAGCACTGTTTCACTTTAAAAAGAAAGAATTTCCACAATAGGAAACAACAGAGATGAACCTGGAGGAATTTATGCTAAGGGAAATAAGCTAGTCACGGAAGGACTAACACTGCATGATCTCACTTACACGAGGTATCTAAAACCATCCAATCCATGGAAGCAAAGACCAAATCACAGTTGCTGAGAGATGGGGGAGGGGAAGCAGGGAGCTACTAATTCGTGTATACAAATTTCAGTTATGCAAGATAAATGAGTTCTAGGGATCTGTTGCACAACACTGTGCCTACAGATGACAACACTGGACCGTGAGGTCAGAGGGTAGATGGCATGACAAGTGCTCTTAGCATAATAAATTATTTTAAAAGGAGGAAGGAAAGGGGAGGAAGGAAGTTAGAAAGAAAGGAGATGCAATGCTGCAATGTCCACTTTGGAAGGTACTGCCAGTAAAGCGGAAGTCTTAGTTGGTGGGTGGGCTCTGGCTGGAACGTCTTAGGGCCCCACCCCTAGGGCAACACCTCATGCTTTGCGAAACAGCAGCTCCACACTGAGCATGAACGAAATTACTCGGGTGCCCAAGGTTGCCCTTGTGCAGAATGGCCAAGAAGGGCCCTGCCCGCAAACCAAGAACCCTCTGGGTTGTTCTCAACAGCGACACCATGAGGCAGCACCTAAAGCCACAGGCAGGTGAGCTGGTCCACAGCCTCCGGCTCACTCTCCGCCTGGCATGGGAAGCAGAAGGGGTTTTGGAGTAGAACTCTGTTGCTCTTAGCTGAGAACAGAAGGGGGCATACTCCAGAGGAAGATGCCAGACCTCTTGGTAATAAAATTGAGCTGAGGCATCTTTTTTAGTTAGAAAAATAAAGGAGAGATGAACATATTTGAGCACCCAGAGCCGGTGAGCAAGTGCGAAGTTTATTTTGGATTATCAGACTTTGGGGGAAAGGAGGTAAGGCGGAGGTTTAAATTATGCATCTGTAACAACCTGCAGCAGGAATAAAGGACGATGCCTCCTTTATGGCCAAACCCAGTCCTGACATCCTTCCAGGCACTAAGGAAAGCAACCAGAGGGACGACTGGCAAGGGAGACGCTGTGCTTCAGGGGAAGAATGTGTGCCTTTTAAATTTCATCACTTCCTCCTCAAAATACCTCTGCATTTGCTGTTCTATAGACAAGCTTGGAGGACCCAAACCCCCCAAGAGGAAAGGAACCAGTCAGCTTCTCTACAAGGGAAAGGAGAAAAGAAAACAAAGTCAAAAGGGGAGGCTAGCACTGCATTTCTTCTGTGGAAAGGCACAAGGCAGGAGAGAGACAGGTTTTGCCCAGGGGCGGCTGGACACTGACAGAGGAACCCGTGTGCCGCGACCAGGAAACCAGCAAGTGCGAGGGGAGTTTTAATGAGCCCAGGCAGCTCTGCGATGGCTGCTGATGCTGAGATGGGAGGGGGCGTCTGAAAGTGTGAGCTTTCGAAGAAAACTGTTTTTATGAAGCAATGTTTCTTCTTGCTGTCCCTTGCCCTTTGGAAGACTCAGATCAGGCCCTCGGTCATCCCCTCCGCGACACCTCCCTGTCCCTGGGTGGGTACACGTCGGAGCAACGGTCATGTGAGCCCCGCTGGAGCCCCAGCTCCGGAATCCCAGCTGCTGCCTGGGGTGGCAGGCACCACAAGGGCCTCCCCGGATGGACGGAGGAGGGACGGAATAAGAGGGATAGGAATAAAGACAAGATTAATAAAATACGATGAAAGAAAACACCCTGAGCCCACCCAGCGGCTGAAAGTACATTTACCACATCTGACAGGGAGAAGGTCATCGTGAGTAATACATCCAGACCCTGGAAAGAAATTATGAGCTAAATCCCTCACCGATGGGTACCACTGGGGAAGGTGCTGGTTTACCTTCCCTGGGGAAGTCTCAGCAGAGGGTCTAAAACCCTTCAATCCCGCTGAGACAAATCTCACTTGGTAGCACCCCTGGGTGGTGCCGAATCGGGATTTCCAAACACCTTTCTAGTCATGTGCAGCTGCACTCCGCTGCGGTCACCACATCCCTGCCTTGGTGTGACCAGGCACAGTTCTTATCAGGCAGGACTGTCCTGTGGTTCCCCCAGAACATTTCTACACCATCAGCTGATGCCATTCTGCCACGGAGGCTGTGTCAACACAAATAATTCCTGGACCCTCCCTAGCGGGTCAGTCTGGGCCCCAAACAGCACCCAAATCACCCTGTTATCTGCATACTCCTTCTGCCATCTCCCCCAGAATACTGCAAGTTCCCCATCTCCCAGCTACTTCTCACGACATCTCAGCAAAAAACCAATCTGACTTAGCGAATTTACACCAACCTTCCAAGGATTCTTGAAAGATTTTATTTACTTATTTAGAACAAGGGGAGGGCAGAGGGAGAAAGAGAATCTCCAGCCGACTCCAGGGTGAGCACAGAGCCTGACGCACAGCTCCATCCCACAACCCTGACGTCATGACCTGAGCCAAAATCAAGAGTTGGATGCTTAACTGACTGAGCCACCCGGAAGCCCCAAGGAGTCTCTATTTTGCAGTAACGCCGATGAACTGCTCAGGGTCGGCTTTCAGCCCCTACAGGAGCTGTCTCAGACCTCCTCTGCAGCTTGTGTGCAAGACCAACCTCATGAGAAGAGAAGGGAGAGGCTCCTTCATCTCTCCCACCTCCCGTCCGCTGCTCGTGGCCTCAGGCATCACTCCATTCCCCGGAGCGTACAGCTGCCTGTCTTGAAGCCGCCTGGTTTGGACCCATCAATGAAGAGGACAACATCCACCAAAAAGACAGGGAGGAGCTGTATCTGTCTGGCTTTAAGCCAGGGAAGGTCCTAGAAACTCAGTCCTGCTCCCAGAAGAGGGATCTCTTCTGCTCTAAGACTAACGGGACACCAGGAACTTGAGTTTCAGATCCAGGGGTCTTCACAGGAGGGCTGTTCAGAACATCTGCTCCCTCCCGGCCTGCTCCTAGGCCTCTCCCCCTGTCCCACTCCTCAACCACATTCACCTCCAGCAAGGGGTTCTTCTAGTCTCTGGTTGATCGGCTTCCCCAAGTTATGGCTGTGTGGGGTCCTGCCTCACCCTTCCAGCAAGCTGCCCCTGCTTCTAGCCCGTACCTAAGAAGATCCCACGGAAACAGAGGTCCAGGAGGGTGAGAGCCCTTGGAGAAACTGCACTGTAGGAACACCTGACTCCTCCCAGGACACATGTGCCCATCTGCATTCTATCTCATATAGCAAGTCACCAGCTGAGAACTTTAAAAAAAAGTGGAGAGACATTACTTCCAGAAAAATCTCGAGCATGCGAGAATTCTACAGATAATGAGGACTTTTAATTTTCTTTGGTCCCTGTTAGAACTAGTTTAAGGAAAGGATGGGATGCCATTGTCAGCTCTACTCAGCTCACCAGAACCTTCAGAATATAACATTTCACCCTTGCTCTCTGCTCTTTAGAAATGGGGAGCCTATAAGCAAATGAGCACATAGTCACACCCTCCTCTGTTTGTCCGCCTGTAAACACTCATGGAGTGCACAGGATTTTGTCAGAGATGGCGTTCGAAGGCTCCTGGTTCTGCCCCAGGGACAAAACACAGCTGTTGTCAAAATGGTGCCCCCTCTGAACCTCCAGCGGGGGATCCCGCCCCCGTGTCTGGGAGCAGCAGGCTCATCACCTCGGGCTACAAAGACTTGGTCTTTGCTGATCAGAATCAGCTTGCTTCCATCGGCAACTAAATTCAACCCCAAGTTTTAGAAGGACACCCATCAAATTATTGACAGTGACAGCTGGGGGCAAGTGAGTGCAGAGTGAAAGGGGTCAGCTACTTAACTCTATATTCCTTAAAAAAACAAACAAACAAAAAACAAACAAACAAACAACCCCCCCCAAAAAAAACCATGGCGATTATGTTCATGGATTCCTTCAAAAATTAAAATACATTTTTAAAAAAATGGCCCAAAAGGCAAAGGAAGCCACAGTTTTCAACAACAGGGCCAGGCTTAGCAGGGTTTCTGCTGGGAGCCGAGCGGGAAGGTGCCCACTTTCCTTAGCCACGTGGATGACTGAATGGCCCAAGGCATTCTGGAAGCTCTTTTCAGGGATGGACACAGCTCAGGCTCTCTCGATGGTCTTTCCCAGGCTTAGACCTTGACTGTCAAGAGCCTATTTGCCACTCCCCCACCCCCACTGAGTTAACCGCTAAGATCCCAGCAGCAGCCTAGAGTTTGCTGAGTGGGAATGAGCCTTCACGCTCACCTGGCCTCAGGTGACCCTCTGTGCTTACTAAGCACCCCTCAAAGCGTTCCCCAGGTTAAAGACGGGAAGCTTCCTCATTAAAAGAGCCTGACTAGCTCTGGAAGAACCCGGGGCCGAGGGCAGAGGTTAGTGTCTGGCCAGCGGGCTCTACCGCCTGCCCTCCCCTTGGCTTCCCCACCCCAACCCTCCGCCCTGTAGAAACTCAGAAAGCAGGAGCTCGGCCAGGAGAGCAGCCGCAAAGGTTCTCCCGGCCGAGCTCATTCATCACCCAGCCGCCGGCGCCACTTACCTGCAGATGTAATTCGTCTTGCAGGAGTCCTGTAAATTCAGGCAGTTGGGCTTCTCCCTCTCCTCGTAGGAGCACACGGGCACGATGGTCTGCCGCCGCCGCTCGGTGCACGCGATGTCCCGGCAGGAGCAGAAGAGCATCCCGTAGCTGTGCTTGGCAGGGACCTTGTCGAAGAACTGCCGCAGGGCCTTGTGGCACTTGCGCCGGTTGCAAACCTCGTTGGACATGCTGGTGGTGCACGGGGTGATGTAGGCGGACCGGTACTTCTTGCAGGTGTCGTCGAGGTTACAGGCCTTGGCGGCGTCCAGGCAGTTGTTCCCCTTGGGCACGGGCTCCACTGCAGAGGAGAGAAAGGCAGGCGTGACCCCAGGGTGGGGGGCCCCGAGGCTCACATTTGCTCTGTTCTACCTGAGGCTCGGCCGGGTCCCGGGCGATGCTGGGAGCTCTCATCAGCTCTGTGTCTTGAAGCTAATAGGTAATGAGTTCATGACAAGGAGAATGTATATGGAGTGCAAAGGCCGGGAGCCCAGGGCAGCCCACAAGCCCCTTGCAGTCCCTTAGATGGATAATTAGGTGGTACTGAGTGAGGCCAAAGGAGCCAAAGGAGCTCAGGCCCCTGCCAGATGAGGTATAAACAAGGCTACAGGAGAACACGTTTCCAGCTCCTGGTTGGTAAACTGAAATTAGGATAAAAGAAAAAGGCAACAAATTATATACTTGTTCATTATATAGTATATAAAATGATATGCTGAATGTAAGTATAATTGCCATGCAATCCTCCAGGAATATAATTATGTAATAAATGCATATAGTACGTGCTAATTACTATATGATTACAGAGTAATTACATGGTTATTTGAGCCCAGAAGACAAAATATTACGCCAGCTCTCTAAACAGGAAGAAATAACTACAGCGAACTTGTGTTTAAGTTCTAGCTCACAGGCCATTGGAAGAAAACCAGAATACATTACGTGAAAATTTGCAAACCTCAATTACCACTTAATTTGCCACATACAAAATGTGGGATCCATGAGTACTGAGGGCTGCAAACTAGAAAAATTCAGCGAGGATTCTGGATAGGATTTCAATGGGCTTACAAACCATAGGCCTCAGGAATCTCACAAAACATATGTTTCCTTCTACCCAAGCTCTCTGTGCTCGTGCTCAGAGAAAACAGGGCTGTCCACTACCATGCTGCCCACTGTGCAGCCTGGAGAGAGAGCATAGGGGAAGCAGGGCCCACTGCAGTAGCCAAGCGGACTGGCAGACAGGACCAGGCCCAATGCCACAAGTTAAAAGATGAGCAGACAAGGGAAATGAAGCTTGACATGATGACACAGGTGTTTTCACAGGAGGGAAGTGATGAGAAAATCTTCTAGGGCCTGGTTATAAGGTGATCCATGGAAAACTGATCATTAGGTGTAGCAGTGACCTTCTGGAGACAGCAAAGAGGTAGACGACAACCTCGCTCAGTTGTGAGAATTGTCCTCCCCACACCCTTCCACTAAGTTCCTGCTCAGGCCTCAGCCCCTGCTTTGGTTCTGGAACTCCCTTTCATTCTCCTTGTGCCCTGGTCAGTGGGGCCATGAAAGCATTTGGGAAATTACAAGAGGCCAGAGAACTGATTAAGAGAGGAGAAAGGGCCCAAGTAGGTTGGGTGGGTTTGAAAGACAGGGCAGTGCACTTAGTGTACATTCAAAGGGCACATGGAATATTCTCCAACCTTAAAGAAGGAAATCCTGCCAGCAGTGTGACAACAAGGATGAACCGTGACGATATTAATGCTAAATGAAATAAACCAGTCATAAGAGGATAACTACTATATGATTCCACTTACAGGAGGTTCCTAAAACACTCAAGCTCAGACAAACGGAGAGTACAATGCTAATGGCCAGGGGCTTGAGGAGGGGGGAAATGGGGAGTTTCTATTCAAGGGGCATCAAGTTTTAGTTATGCAAGATGTAAGTTCTAGAAGTCTGCCATCCAACATCATGACTACCGCCAGTGGTGCTGTATTGTACACTTAAAAATCTGTTGAGAGGGTTAATCTCATGTTAAATGTTCTCACTACAATTTTTTTCTTAAATGTAAGTAAGTGAAGGGTACACAAAGCGAGTCTACATTTCAGGGAGCGAGAAAGACTCCCTGTTTCATGATGGTGTGTCTTGCTTTAAAAAAGCCCAGTATGCAAAAGTCTGAAATCACCCAATTATACCCTGGCACCACGAGCAGTACCCTAGTATGCTTCATGTTGCTGCAATGACATCTGAATCCAACAATTTAATGTGAAGGCAATAAACAAGACATTCAGCCCTTCTTGGGTAAGCAGGACAAGAAGCCAGCGGCTGCACAGAGATCCCTGCTGGTTTAACAAGCACACCTGGTACATTTTCTCCATCACGACCTTCCCAGACCAGCTTCTCTCTGGCTCCTCTGTTTTCACACTCAAGCTCCTCTGCACTCAAGAAATGAAATATGCACCATGTGCCTAGACGGGATCACCAGGACCTACAGGCCTTGGTAACCCTTCCAGTCTTTTCCTCTTTTGAGACCTTTAATGTTGTGCTGTTGGGCCCGTCAACAACAGTGGTTTATATTCTCAAAGGTCTAGAGTTTCACAGAAGATTTCTAAATTAACCATTTTTCATGAGAGTCTAAAATAAATTAATATAACTAAAGACCAAATTCTGGACCATCTGGATTAGGCCCTGAAGGCGAGATACGGGAACATAATTTTACTGCCTGCATTTACACTTGTCCTGGTATTGAATGGTGTTTTACGATCTCTAGCTAAAAAGGAAAGAATAGAGGTGCAGAGGTGCACCTAACACCTAAATGACGTAGCCAGTGATATAGGAACAAACAGTTGACAGAAGTTCAGATGGAGGAAAATGGCGGAAGAATTAAGTCATCACATGACAGCCAGTAACACAGGCCAGCTCAGCTCCAGACAACTCAGGCTGACGCAGGAGTATATCCCAATTGGAAGCACCGATTCAGCTTCAACAAAATGGTATTTTACCCCTTACATTAATGTCATTAACTTGCATTTCATTGTTTACAAAGTTCTGTTCATATTTAATTTGTGTGTATTGTTTTTACAGTTGTGTAAAATTACAAAATAAAAGTTTATAGTTCTATGTTCCTAAGTGTCAAATAAAATTATAGTAAAAATAATAAAACTCAACACATGAGGTCCAGGAAACTTATTTTTCTCTCTTAAAGTAGTCTGTATAATATATAAGTTTTTTAAAAAATTGGTCTGGAGAGAGGCTCCTTGACATGGGTCTTGGCAATGAATTTTTGGGTATGACACAAGCAACAACATCAAAAATAAACAAAGGGGATGACATCAAACTAAGAAGCTTCTGCACAGCAAAGGAAACCATTAATACCATGAAAAGGCAGGCTGTGAAATGGGAGAAAATATTTGCAAATCATATATCTGATGGGGGTTAATATCCAAAACGTATAAATAACTCATACAACTCAGTAACAAAGTAATAATAATGATGATGATGATGATAATAATAATTCCATTTAAAAATGAGCAAAAAACCTAAATAAACATTTTGCCAAAGGAGATATTCCGATGGCCAACAGGTACTTGAAAAGATGCTCAGCATCACTAATCATCAAGGAAATGGATATCAAAACCCCATTGAGCTATCAAAGCACACCTGTTAGAAGAGCTAATGTCAAGCCAAGAAATAACAAATGATGCAGGGAAAAGGGAACCTTGGGCACTGCAGGTAGGATTATAAATTGGCACAACCATTATTGAAAAAATTTTCAATTTTTTAATTAAAAAATTAAAAATAAAACTATCATGTGATCCAGCAACTCCTCTTCTAGGCATACATCTGAAGGAAACCAAATCACTATGTCAGAGAGATCTGAACCCCTATTTTCACTGCAATGTTATTCACAATAGCCAAGACATGGAAACAACTGAAGTGTTTGTCAGTAGATAAATGGGTAAAGAAAACAGGATGTATATACACACAATGGAATAATATTCAGCTGTATAAAAGGAAATCCTGCCATGATAAGTAACAAAAGTCAGATAAAGACAAATACAGTATGATCTCACTTTTATGTGGCATCTAAACACACACACACACACACACACACACACACACACACACATCAAAAAAACCAAACTCATAGGAAAAAAAAAGATCAGCTTTGTAGTCACCAGAGGCAGGGGAAGGTGAACTGAATGTAGATAGCCAAAAGGTATAGACTCTGAGTTATAAGATACATACGTAATGGGAAATGTCATGTACAACATGATGACTATAGTTAACAATGTTCCATGCTATATCTGAAAATTGCTAAGAAAGTAAATCCTAAAAGTTCTCATCAAACACACAAAGACAATTTTTTCTTTTTCTGTGTGTGTATCTACAGGAGGTAACAGATGTTAACTAAACTTGTGACTATCGTTTTGCAATATACATAAGTCAAGTCATGATGCCATTAATTTCAAACTTATACAGAGCTGTTAATTATATCTTAAGAAAATTAAAAGAAAAACATTGGTCTAGCATATTCCTGCTTTATTACAATAATGTCAGCTTCCTTTTTGAAGTTGGTAAAACTACATACGCCACTATTTTTTTCTTCTTAATGTTACCAAAAAGAAAAGCGATATCTTAAAGTAAAAGCTCTGTACAAAGTGGGAATAGAATGAATTATTTTATGTCCAAACCAACTGCTTCCATTTTACTTCATTTAGCAAACTCACTTTCAGCTGATTCAGTTTTCATCAATACATAACCCAGCCAGAGCCCCATCTCTTTACCATTATTTCAGAGCCTGTGACAAATTCCAGAATGCACAACCTGGAACATTCACAGAAGCAAAACAAAACAAGTGAATTGATGTCCTGCACACAGGTCAATGTGTGACTAGCTTTTTGTTTCTGATTCTCATTCACACAAAATATTCTCATAACCCTTTTTCCAACTTTTTATGTGAGGCCAGTCTTACCTAAAAAGCAGAACCTGATAAAGACGAAAGAAGAAAATTGCAGACTAATATTCCTTACGTAGATTCAAAAAGTTTGGTAGATAGCGTTTAGCAATATGTTAAAAGGTTAACGTACCAAGATCAACTTGGGTTTATCCCAGAATGCGAGGCTGGTTTAATATTTAAATATTAACATAATTTATCATATTAACGAACAGGAAGAAAACCATATGGTTGCTTAAGTGGGCAAAGAAAAAGTGTTCAATGAATTTCAGCACTCCTTCCACAATAAAAAATGCTCAGCAATCTAAGAATAGTAAAAAACCTTAATCTGATAAAGGGCCTTTATGAAAAACCTACAA